CCCCTTTCACATTTTTGCAAAAAATCGTAATTTTTGAGCGCCTCGTTTACCCCCTTAGAAGATTTTAACTATTTCCGATGGAATTAAACAGTAGATTTATTCTTCCTTTTGTAAGTTAATGTAGAATATTTGCAAATACTATTTTCCTTTTTTGGTACTGATCGTTCTACTGCAGTTAGTTTACGGAAAAAACGATAATATGCACAACTTCAAACGCCTCAATCTCTCAATAATGTTCAATAAATTAGATCAAATTATTTACTACGACATCAGAAATATGTTTTTGTTGTCACATAATGTATCAGAATTTTGATTTTCCATCTCATTAATTATCAAATAAAAATCTAACTTCCTTGAGTTTTCCCAAAAAATAATGCAGGTTTACCTCGTATTTTGATATTCAATTAAATAGAATTACTATCTAAAACTTTCAAAAACCAATCTACCATCATTGAACTACTGAAATATGTATATATTTTGATAATTAGTTCATTAATAATTATTTTATAGGACTCCAAACATCACCCGTAAAATGCAATATTTACTAGTGCAAATCTACCTACTCGCTGATCAGTACGGCAGCGGCGTAATTTTGTAAAAGGGCTCTTAAGCCCAGAGGCATATTTTGAAATCTGGCGCCCCAGGTCACTTTAAATTTTCCTCCTTGATTTTTATCACTAACTTAATGATTTTCATACATCACACTAATATTATAAAGGCGAAATTTTGTGTGTGTGTATGTTTGTTACTTCTTCACGTCTAAACGGCTGGAGATTTTAATAATATTTGGTATGGAGTTAGTTGACACCCTGGATAAACCCATACGCTACGGTTTACTGCGGGAAAATATTATCCCTAATAAGCCGCGGGTAACACCACGGGGCACAGCTAGTAAAATATAATTGTACTAATTCTATGCTCCTATGTATTCCTTTTTTCGATAACTCGTGTTTCAAACCATTGTAACCCTTAAAATTTTACTTTTACTATAAAGTTAAATTATGACCAAAAGACCAGAAAAAAAATATTATCAACAAGGCCGTATGGTCTTTGTTGCCTTTGCCTACCCAAAAGGGGAAAATATAAAAACAATATTTGTCGGACGGAGCAGCGGCGCACGAGCGGTGTAACCGCGAGTCGACATTAATTTTTACTAATAAGATTTTACGTTTTTAATCGATCAACGGGAGATCAACGAAATTCTCTTACTTTGTAAATTTCCTATTTAAAGATAGAACCGTTCTTAGTTCTCATCAAATTTGTCGATGTAACTACCCACTTACTAGTACCTTTTTGGCGAACGGTCGATATTACTTTCATATTATTAAGGCTTATTGACTACCTGGAAAAAAATAACTATTTGTCACCTACGCAATTTGGTTTATGGGCAAAGTTGTCAACAGCAGATGCGGTGCATAACCTGACTAACTATATTACTCAGGAACTAGGCTAAGGAAAGCATACTCTAGCTGTTATTCTTGATTTAGCAAAAGCGTTCGATACCGTTTCAATTCCGAAGCTTCTAAAAAAGTTGGAAGCGTTGGGTATTAGAGGAACGCAGTTAAAACTATTTGCAGATTATTTAGACAATCGATCTCAATGCGTTAAAATAGGAAATATTAAAAGTGATTACCAGAAAATGACCTGCTATGGTATTCCCCAGGGAAGTATAATCGGCCCTACCCTTTTTCTCGTTTACATCAATGATTTATGTAACCTTAATTTAAAATGTGGTAAAATTATATCTTACGCCGATGATACGGCCTTGATTTTTAGCGCCAATAGTAGGTCAGAATTATATGAGGTAGCTCAACTTGGTCTTAATGGTGTAAATAACTGGCTTCGCTGCAATTTACTAACACTGAATACTGACAAAACCAATTATATTCACTTTTCTATGCGCCAGCCTTGTCATGGGTTTACAAATCCTAACTTATACGCACACCAATGCCAATATCCTTCAGTCAATAAATGCGATTGCCCTTTAATACAGAACACATCCCATATAAAATATCTTGGTATCTTAATTAACGACACATTATCTTTTAGACAGCATATTGCAAATCTAGTAGTCAGGATCCGTAAATTAATGTATATTTTTAAAAAATTACGTACCATTGCAGGTCCAAAACTAATTAAACAGGTATATCAGGCCTTATGCCAATCAGTAATTCAATATTGTATAACTTCATGGGGTGGAGCTCTCAAAACTATTTTAATCCCTCTCGAGCGAGCTCAGAGAGCCATTTTAAAAGTAGCCAATTCACTTCCCTTCTTATATCCTACGCATCAACTTTACAAATACTGTAATGTGTTAACTGTTCGCCAGCTTTTCATTATGCACACCATATTAAAACAACACACCATTTCACCTTTTTGCTCTGATATCATTGACAAAAGACGGAAAGATATAGTCTGCGTCTCTACACATGATTCAAAATACATCTTTTCACATAGATTCTCTACTTTCCTAAGTCCTTTCTTATATAATAAGTTAAATAGAGTATTAGGTATTTACACATTAAACTATTTTAACTGTAGAACTGTAATATTTAATTATTTGCACAGCCTGACATACGAGCAGACCGAAGAATTACTTCTTATTTGTAAATAAATGAACGTAACTCCATTATTTACATTTACCAACATTTATATAATGATTACTTTAAGTTCTGTTTTAATTAATTTGTTAATTTATTAAATATTCTATATATTATTTAGATCATAAAAGCCTGAAATATAGGTACAATTTTAACTGTAACCTAGTTCAGGCATCCATTATTTTGTATTTTATATTGTTATTAGTATTATTATGCAATGTATGAACTTATTTGAATAAAGATATATTTATTATTATTTATTATATATTATATTTAAATAAGTGATTTATCCTGATATTTAGATATAATACGGACCCGTGTGAATTGTTTCCAGAGTTCCCTGCACGCCTCCAGTTTATCTTTTAACTTCTTTTTTATTTTGGGTGAGAATCAACTTTTTCGAGCGAGCATCGAGTCTCGGACGGATCTAGTGGCAAGTGCTCTCTCAGGATCGTACCTTCCCATTATTTATTTGTTTATTTTTTTGGAGTCACCGAAACTTAGTTATATTTTGGATGACAAATAACCTTTTCGAGCGGGAATCGTGTCCCGGACAGATTCAGTGACGAGTGTTCCCTCAGGACGTTAATTACCTATTATTTCATTGTGAATCTCTGGAGACCGCCGAAATTGTGAACTATATATGGATTCCAACGTAGGTAACTTAACTTATGTATAAATAAATTTAAGCCCAGCCTTGTTAACATTCACTCATGATTGGACTACTTAAGTTTATACACACATCACTCAAATCCAGACCAGAAATCGTCACGAACCCTCTCTTCTTTTATTTGTATCTATAAGGGGAGAATAAACTTAGTAAACTAATTCGTTTTGAAAAAATACATTTTGATTTAAGTTGTTATGTTTTCAATTTTTGATATTAAAATAATTTGATTTAAGTTAACTAAAGTTGATCGATTGTAAATAAAAACACAATCTGAAAAGTGGTTTTCTTTAACCCCAGATTCTCAAGGTTACACCATCTAGAAGCCCTCAAAAATGTCAAAAATATACAAATTTTAATCACCACTTAAGACGCCTAGTATTGTGATTCAATCTTATATTTATAATTCTCGTGTCACGGTGTGCGTAATTGAACTACTCCGAAACGGCTAAACTGATTTTCGTGAAATTTTATATGCATATTCAGTAGGTCTGAGAATCGGACAACATCTATTTTTCATCCCCCTAAATGTTAAGGGTGGTCCACCCTTAATTTAGTTTTTTTTTGCCATATTTGTAGTGAAAGTTTGTCATCATCAGCCTCTTAATGTCCCCACTGCTGGGGCATAGGCCTTCCCTATGGATGGAATAGAGAGATTGGGCCATGACCCACCACGCGGGCCCAGTGCGGATTGGCGGGTACTGACGACTGCAGATGCAACCGGGACCAACGGCTTAACGTGCCTTCCGAAGCACGGAGGAACTCGAGATAGAAATTTTTAGTCACCCATCCAATGACCGACCACTGCGAAAGTTGCTTAACTACAACGATCGCAGCCGAACGCGCTAACCACCTGCGCCATCGAGCTCCTCAGTGAGTGAAAGTTTGTAACCTACACAAATAGGATAAGATATGTAAACAACAATATTTTTTTACAACGAATACAACAAAGAAAAACATGTAAGAACGTTATAATAATAATGTCATGTTTAGATACAAAATTTATTACGCCGCGCCGCGTCACGATGCCGCCTACGGTGTCGACTCCGACGCCAGCTTATGAAAGAGACCACAACAGTACATATCTATACTAAGCATCGTGACGAAGCCTACGGCGATTCTAGGACACCAAAGTACAATAATATAAAACGAATAAAGTATAACGACATTGCTTATTTCCTGTTTAAAATTGTTCAGAAAAATAATTTGCTATCACAATTGCGAATTTTCTATAATATATTATTAGTATACTTAACAAATAAAATTGCAATCTTATATCAACCTATTACCTATACATTCTTTAATGTTATATAAAACTTAATCAATAGCTTTACAGCCGTCTAAACTACAACATTGAGAACATCAAGTTTTAGTTTAATATTGCATTGTTATGTGGTGATGACTGAATCATCCATCTGAGACTCGGATCTCGTTTTAATTTTAATTGCCACTTCTATACTTCGCGCCCTTGACGCTTACCCCTATTGGCAAATCTAACCTAATATTTGTAAGTAAAAAAATTGCACCACTCAAATACACTGACGTGTCAACATTTTCCACGTTAGTCATTTAAACAGGTGTCCCAAAACTTTGCCACATGAAGGGAAGGCACCTTTATACTCTATATATATTTTTTACGTTTGTTTTCCTCCATGTGACAAAGTTTTGGGATACTTGCATAATCACCTGATATTTACCTACTAGGTCACTGGAATAAAATATAAATATGAGATCTAATAAGATTGGCTTAGTTTTGTGAACAGATTTTGTTTCACTAGTTCTATCACATTATTTTGACTAAAAGCGTCTATAACAGCCTTGGTCAAACAAAGAGTGCTAGTGGATCCATCAACATCGTCCTCATCTAATGGAGCATCAGTGTTTGCATACTCCTTAAGGTTTTGCTTAATCACATTAACTAGATCCACACTTGATATGCTTTGCACCACTTCCATGTTATTCATTTTATCTTCTAGCAACGCTTTGAGGTCATACTCTTCGGGGGCTGTAGCAGAAGAGTCTTCGCAAGTTTTTTGGCGTTTCACCCGTCGCGCTTTACGCCTGTTATCTAAATATATATTTGCCACTGTCTCCAATTGCAAAAATAAAACTGCCAAAGGTGTGTCAGAAATGTCATCCTGAAAGAAATTTTATTTGATCCGATTATAAAATAACGACAGAAACAAAAATATTAGCAACAATTTTATAATAGGGGTGATGACGGGGTACAGTAAACGAAATAGGCTAGTTTACTCATGTCTAATAGGCTAGTTGACTCATGTCGAATTGTATTAAATAAATGTTTATTTCTTACAGTATTTGGTCTAAGGAACCTAAATATATCGATTTCACTTCATAAAAGCAGAAGATTGCTGTAGAAATTTAATTTTAAAAAATATTTTTTAGTCTATATTTTTTAAACAGTAAAAACGCTGTTCGCCACATCCGCCATGATTTTGACGTCTCTTTCAGTAAACAACTAAATGTCATTCGCGTGTTATTGTGAGTGGATTCTTTAGTCTGAATAAATTTATCTTAAAACCCTTTTAACTTTAGATAAGTTTCCGTTTACTGTTTTTTTTGACAAAACTAATTATGGATGCCGGCTTTGTGAAAGCACAAATCTGCCAAGAATTGACGCATTGATGGTTGGTGAATTTTTTGCACTAAACCCCGATTACTGCTCTGCGGAGCAGAGAAACGACAAGACATCTATGTAAGTACAGTGCATTTAGTATTACAATGTAGTAATAAACATAAAACTGATACAACATATGAATAAGTGTAAGAAAGTTGCATAGGTTAATTTCTTTCGGCACTTTAATCCACAACATTCCTGGCGTCTTCAAGGATGTGTTTTTATATTCTCGTACAATACAATAATGATAATTACTTTATTTTTCGTGGTATTTAATAGAAATCATGTTCTTTTTATTATAAACTCAGTTATTTTCTACGTGCTTACGAGTTTTTGTTTACTACAGTTGACATCATAGCATAGACAATCTATAGACTAAAATGGCCGACAGCGTTTTTGTATGTCCATGAAAATTCTATTTTAAAATTAAAGATTTGTAGCTTTCTAGGTCTCAAAAAAATACAATACATTTTTTTTCGTTCTAATAGAACATTTATTAACCATTTAAAACCTTTTTCCAAAAAGGGTCAACTAGCCTATTGTATTAAATAAATGTTTATTTCTTAAAGTATTTAGTCTAAGGAACCTGAATATATCGATTTCACTTCATAAAAGCAGAAGATTGCTGTAGAAATTTAATTTTAAAAAATATTTTTAGTCTATATTTTTTAAACACTAAAAACGCTGTTCGCCACATCCGCCATGATTTTGACGTCTCTTGTGGTAAACAACTAATAATGTCATTCGCGTGTTACTGTAGGTGGATTCTTTCGTCTGACTAAATTAATCTTAAAACACTTTTAACTTTAGGAAAGAAAAAAACAGTAAACTTAGTTTTTTTTGACAAAACTAATTATGGATGCCGGCTTTGTGAAAGCAGAAAGCACAAATTTGCCAAGAATTGACGCATTGATGGTTGGTGAATTTGTTGCACTAAACCCCGATTTCTGCTCTGCGGAGCAGAGAAACGTCAAGGCATCTATGTAAGTACAGTGCATTTAGTATTACAATGTAGTAATAAACATAAAACAGATACAACATATGAATAAGTGTTATAAAGTTGCGTAGGTTAATTTCTTTCGGCACTTTAATCCACAACTTTCGTGGAGTCTTCAAGGATGTGTTTTTATATTCTCGTACAATACAGTAATGATAATTACTCTATTTTTCGTGGTATTTATTAGAAATCATGTTTTTTTTATCATAAACTCAGTTAAAAGTAATTTTCTACGTGTTTACGAGTTTTTGTTTACCACAGTTCACGTCATAGCATAGATAATCTATAGACTAAAATGGCCGACAGCGTTTTTGTATGTCCATGAAAAGTCTATTTTAAAATTAAAGATCTGTAGCTTTCTAGGTTTAAAAAAAATACAATACATTTTTTTTCGGTCTAATAGAACATTTATTAACCATTTAAAACCTTTTTCCAAAAAGGGTCAACTAGCCTATTCTATTTAGTCCGTCAGTTAGATGATCAAAAAATAATGGACACGTATTTTTTCTTTGGGCAATCAACCACAAAATGACAAAGTTCTAGCGCGTCAAAGTTTGGGAGTAGGGGCTCGTGATGTCACTTTTGTGTGAATTTTCCCTTATAAGTGTACTCAAACGTGACGTCATGCGACTTTTCAAATCAATATATCTCTGCAATGTTTATATTATGTGAAAAAAGAAAAAATACGTGTCCAATACTTTTTGATAATCTACCTGATAAACGAAGAAAAAAAAATTAGTCATCATCCCTATTGGGTGGGTGCAGATGAAGCATTGCAGTAATGTAATGATGATCCCAATAATATAAAATTACTGTTTTGCACAATGACGTGCTATAATATGGAACTATGGGACTAATCTAGATGCGCTTGTTGACGAGACGATTTCTACCCGGGTTTAAGCACGGTTTAAAACCGTGTCTAAATCCGGTTGTCAGTTAAGTATGGGACAAAATAATAATAAATATAATAACTAGCTGCCCCAGCGAACTTCGTACCGCCATAAAAAAATATGGGTTGGTGGTAGAAGGGTGAAAATTTGAGGGTTGCATTTATTTTTGTATGATGTATCATAAAAAAAATTGAAAAAAAAAAATCTAATTGAAAAGAAAAAATTTGGGGGTGGATTACCCTTAACATTTAGGGGGATGAAAAATAGATGTTGTCCGATTCTCAGACCTACCCAATATGCACACAAAATTTCATGAGAATCGGGAAAGCCATTTCGGAGGAGTTTAACCGCCCCAGTAGTGGGGGCATTAATAGGGTGGTTGTGGTAGGAAAATAAATACATTTTGTAAATTATTATTTTGTGCAAATGATAAGGATTTCAATAGAGTGATGTGATTACATTTTTAAAAAACTTGTGTACCATAATAGTTAATATTAGTAAGTTCTAAAGTATCCTTAAATTACAAACGTAAGAGTTTGATTTGTCCGAACCGAGAAACTTGTCTCTAAAATGTAAATAGGTACAAGTACTCTATGGTGTCGATCCTGGCATGATTCTTAACTTGTCACCTTAACGGTTATTAAAACAAATTTATTTTTTTACTTTGTACTTACTTCGTTAGGATTTACGAGCAATTTGGCCGTATCCTGTGGCAAATCTTTACATATTTGTGCCACCAATATTTTAATCAAAGCTTCTGACACACGCGTTGTAGAATCTTTTTCCTAAAAAGAATAAAGCAATTTAAATAAGGGCATTTGTTTTAACGTTGTTTTAAAATTACAAATAGTTAATAATTACATGGGGCAGCCACATATTCAGACTTATGTTGAGGGAGTCAATATTTTGGACATAATGCCACCATCCCCAAGGCACCAACAGTGCATCACCGGCTGCTAACTCCACCATACGAGCACCAGCCAAGCCTGCGTTATATTAAGTGAATATTGAAAATATATCAAAACAATGGAAGAGCAATCAAAACAAAAAGTAAGTTTATTGATACCTAATTACATGCTTAGTTTAATTAAACGAAACATGTTATCTTGTCATATTAAAACGCAATACACACCAAAACCGCTACACGGCGACCTATTCGAAAAGAATAAATGTGCGTTCAGACTATGCTACACTTTTACATTAAGGCTGGTTTACGATGATTAGAGAAGAGTGCATAAGTGCAGTGGTTTACTTTATCTAAGTGTTTATTAAAGTGCTTTGGGACAGTACTTTAGTAGAAACGTGTAAATGTTAGCTTCCAATAACTTGCTTTAGTACGATTCCACTCGCCTTTCAGGTGTACATCAGTTTTTTTTGTAGTAACACCCCTCCCGCGCCCCAAGTAGCACGCAATGTGTAAACGGATGATTAGAGAAGAGTGCATAAGTACAGGTGGATGCCTGCATAAATTAGCAAAGGTGAAATGATCATAAGAACATAACTCGTTAAGTTTGTAACGTAATATGTGAGCCACGAATGTTTGTGGAAGGACAAAAATAATGTATATAAAATCAAACAGGTCAGACAAACAGCATGCAACAACTAATCCATTTGCGTTTTGGTTTTATTTCTTTCAAATCTCTATTCTGTTTGTTCCATTACAATACCCATACTGGGTTGCGAAAATAGCCCGTAATAGGGAAGATGCATATATAATATTTATGAAAATTTTATGATTAAAATGTTAAAAAAATATAAAAGAAATGCCACTGCTACGTTTTTATTTTACATAATGTTGTTTTTTAACAATTATTACGAATTAAAAATACTTGAAACGGAACGTATTTTAAAACACCAATCAGCGTTTAGTGACGTCACTCCTGTTATGACAACTTCTTTGAGGTTATGGTTGTTATAGTAAATATTATTTTAAGGGAATATTTATTGCGTTTTTTTACATTTAATAAAAATGGAAGTTGCGTTTATCAAAGCAGACTCCAGGAATTTACCAAGAGTTAGCGTTGACATGGTTATAACATTTTTTGTCCAAAGTGCAGAGTTTTTAAGTGTAGAAATGAAAGGGACTAAATTACTACGGTATGTAAAAATCGTAGTTGTTAAACTTCGTATTTTATTCAGCGGCTTCTACAAATCTTACGGCGATAATGCAATCGGCTATGTCCAAATTAAAAGGGATGGAGAATTATGTACAGTAAAAGGTCGAGTTCTCCGGAGCATAAAGTACGTAAAGAAGGTTATCGTGTTACAGTTATTTTAAATGAAACGCAAAGCTTGGTTCAGTCCTGCCAATGTGAAGATTGTGCCACACATTTTAAACTTTATCTAATTTTCGATGTCATTATCCAACTGTAAAATTAAAAATATGTTATAGACAGGTTTTGTAAGTATTAGGTAGGATACTAATGCGTTTTTACGTACAAGCAGATTAATTAAGCATATAACAAGTATATTCGCCGACTTACGTAAAGGGATCTTCTCAGCATCGAATAATGGTCTTTGGAGAACAATTGTCATTTCTCTTCGCAGCTTGAAACCACTTTTTTTCAGTTTTGGGTCAGAAGTTCCAGTCAAAAACAATTTATTTGGGAACTTTGTTGAAGTAGATTGGCACAAAACATGAGTCAACACGGCTTTTTTCGGAATATTAGTGGTATTGTTATGATCACATGATGTTGATGGATAGTCCATTTTAAATTTTTCAAAAAAATATTTCGAAATTCGTGTGTGAATAAATAAGAAAAAATGCAATGCATAAAAAATGCAAAAGTATGAAAATTTAAAGCCAGCAACGAACAAATACGACCAGTGACAGACAGGAGTGACATCATCGCAAACATAGGTTCGTTTTCGCGCGAAAATTTAAATTGTCAATTTAAAACCGCATTTTTTCCGATAAATCACAATGTTTTAAATTTTTAATATATCTGTGGTTTATTCTGCATGGAATTCTTTAAAATGAAAACAAAAATAAAAATATTGCATCTTCCCTATTGTACGTCGCTCGATACGACATCCTGGAGACGAAATTACACTCTATTGGAACAAGTGTAACGTCCACTGGAATGGCACCAAATCAACTAAACCTCTAGACTCAATCTCAACTGCTCTACTCTAATAAACGTCTGTACTAAACACTACAATGATGTAAATCAACGAACGGCCAACGACAATGTTTTTCGACTTGCAATCTTGCAATAAGTAAATCTGATAAATGCGTGGTAAAAACTACACTAGTCTGGGTTGTGGTGTTTATTGCACTTAACATTGTAAGTAAAGCCGTTGTTTATTTAAATATTATTGTATAAATTATTGCAGTGATAGCTAAATCAAAACAAAATAAAGTAAACTATGATATAATTTAGGCTGCTGTGGTAAAACAATACACACCGTTAAAAGCTTCTAAATTATGTGGACAGTAAAAGTTTAGTTCACTGTAGACACTTGACTCCTCATATGGTACTCTTGTTGGTTTCAATCCACCAGTCTCTGGAGGGAACAGAATCCACCGCTTCCTTAAAATAAATAAATACTGCTACTTTATTTAAGTTAACTCTGCCATCAATATTACATAAATTAATTATTAGCATCCAATACATCAATAAAATTAACATTATATTAAAGGTACACATATGTAAACCTACACATTTAGCATTCCACCCCACAATCTATTATTCTGTTACGTTTGTGTGATGAGCAGAAAAATATGATGAACAGCAGATTTAAAGTTTTTGCAATATAACAGATTGCCAAACAAGTTGGATTCCGATGAAGTTATAGTACTATAGACCACATACATACGCTACGGCAGGTTATACAGAAGACCGAAGAGTATACCTGTCACTATGCTTAGCGTTTGTGGACTATGAAAAAGCTTTAGATTTGTCAAGACCTGACTGACTGACCGTGGTTCAGTCTCTTCAGAGGTGTCAAATAGACTATTTAGATCTATAGAATGTTGCAATCATTGTACGAAAACGCCACTATGTCATTGCGCCTTCAGGAGGTGTAAGACAGGGCGACGGCGACGTTATATAGCCGTAACTGTTCACAGTTGTGCTGGACTATGTGTTTAAGCTTTTGGACTGGGGAGGTCTTGGCATCATTATGAACAGCGAGTACATGACGCACCATCGTTTTGCTGATGACATCGTAGTTACTGGGCATAATGCTCCATGACCTCTCTGAAATTAAGTCTTATTTCCATGTCGTACCCACTCCGTTGCAGGTTAAAAGCTCTACACTGGAAGTTGTCGACGAGTATATTTACCTGGGACAAATAGTCCAACTTCCAGTAAATCCGTCGATTAAACAATCGAAGGATTCTTTTCGGCTGGGCAGCATTCGGTATGCTACGCAGCATATTCTCGCCCCATCTACCGCAGTTTCAAGACAAAGGTATTTAATATGTGTCATGCCATTGATGACGTATGGAACCGAGACGTGGCCGCTTAAAATGGGTCTCACAAGAAGGCTCAAAGTCACCCAAAGGGCAGTATAGAGTGGTATGTTCGGGGTTTCTCTGCGTGATCGAATTAGAAAGATGAGATCAGTTGAGTAGGAGAACTAAGGTTACCGACACAGCCCAAAGCATTGCAAGGGTTAAGTGTCAGTGAGCAGGGCACAATGTAAGGAGGACTGACGGCCGTTGGGGTGGAAAGGTCCTCGAGTGGCGGCCGCATACCGGGAGACGCAGCTCTGATAGGCCCCTCACAAGGTGGTCCAACGAGCCCAGGACTGATTGGTTTGGAATTCCTTGGGGGAGGCCTATGTCCAGCAGTGGGCATCTCTCGGCTGATATGATGAACATAATAGACTAGCGGCCGCCCATGACTTCGTCTGCGTTAACTTTAGTATTTGAAAATTCCGCAGAAACCTGACACTATTCCAGGATAAAAAATATCCTGTCTCAATCCAGGGCTTAAACTATTTATGCACCAAATTAAATCTAAACTGTTCTGTAGTTTTTGCGTGATTGAGTAACAACCATACAAACAAATATTAGCCCCACGGCATGTTATTACCTCGTACTACCAGGCCGGCCGGCTAGCGCCCTTCCCCTCACGTTTAATCCGCCCGCGTCCCGCGATGCATACCTAGTTATTTTACAACTATGATATCTAAATCTAAAGAAAAGTTTTACTAGAAAAAAAAAAATGTGTGCGTGTACTAGTGTACACACGTAAGAAGTGAAACTTCTTTATGGCCTTATTTTTCGAAAAATGATCTACATGCAACTTTCCAGAAATTTGTTAAATAAAGTTAAATTAGATAAAGTTTAAACAAAAGGATTTTATTATCATAGACATGAATACAAATTACTGCCTATGAAACTGTTATGATTACACGGCTCAGTAATCTGAGGCACATGTTCCACCTCCGACGATGAACGATAAGCGAGTAGAAACTAGAAACGAATTGGCAGTCCCGAGTTAAAATGCACGCTCACGGCTTTTGACAGCCAAGCCAGCTTAACCGAGCGAGTATAGCTGAGCGAGTATCGCTGAGCTAGTATCGCTGAGCGAGTATCGCTGAGCGAGTATCGCTATGCGAGTTTGGCTGAGCGAGTCTTATCTTTAATAACTATTGTCACTCAGCTACAAACGAGTAGAGAGAGTTCTCGCCGGCGACAGTGTGATCATTCAGCTATCAACTATTAATATAAAAGAATGGAAAGATGGCACGTAACGGAAAAATGTGACGCGTAACCGAAAAATGTGACGGTAAATTTTTTTCCAACGCCGATAAAGAAGTTTCACTTCAAAAAACGCCTGGTCCGCGTGGATTTTTTTCTAGTAAAACTTTTCTTTAGATTTAAACATCTAGCAGTTAAATGCTTAAAAAATAAATAAAATCATTACTATGATATCTCTTAAGATATTTATTGAAATCGACTGAAGTCAAGAACAACAATTTAGATCAAAATTGAATACTTGTGATAAATAATGCATTAATTTTTGTTTAATAAAAATTCATGTTTACATTAACACCTTTGCATATAATGGATTATTTTTGAACAACTTTGATAACCAAAAAATTGTGAAAGTGAATCAACCTTAAAAGATAGAATTATGTAGTTGCACACTTTTTTTTAAGAACAACTAAGTAGAACAATTTCTTCATACATTATTTTAATGTAATTCCTGAGATGAGTGCGTTCAACCAAACGAGCAAACTTATCAGCTTTATAATCTTAGTATAGATGGCATGAACTTTTAAAACAGTATTTAATAATATTCTTAGTACAGTAGGGACTCGGTAATCCGGACTCCCGCTTCATCGGTGATCGCTGTTATCCGGCCGGGCAATGGGCTTCGCGGGGGAGCCGGGCGGGTATAGGTGCGGGCTACCATGAGCCAATGCGTCGTCAATCTTTTGATTATCGCCTTTCGTGTAGTACGTACAGTGTCAATTTAGCGCGCTCGCTAACATCATGGCGCCGCGCCGCCACGTAAACATTTAACATTAGAAGACAAAATGCGGATTATAGAAATGTTAGATAAAGGTGGTAGCTACCCTGTCATTGCTCGGGAGTTTGGTATAGGCAGGTGAACTGTAGGCGACATAAAGAAAAACAAAGACATGATCTTGAAGTTTGTTAGCCTAACAGAACGTGGTCCCGGTGTACGAGAAATGGGAAAATCCTGTTTTAGAAGATGCTTTGTTTACGTGGTTTTTGCAACAAAGACGATTGCATGTTCCTGTAAGTGGTGATATGATGTGTAAGAGAGCTCGTATTTTTCATCGCCAGATTACAAATTCCAATATTGGGTTTAATGCAAGCCAGGGATGGTTAGACTAATTTAAAAAATGCCATGGAATAAGATGTTTAAAAATGGCAGGTGAAAAACTGTCAAATGATGAAGCCGCTATCGGACCATTCCAACCAGAGTTACAGAAAGTTATTAGAGAAAAAAATTAACAACGGAACAAGTTTACAATGCTGACGAATCTGGGTTATACTGGCGATTATTGCCAGATACGTTAGCCTCTGGCAATGAACAGTCGGCTTCCGGAAGGAAAATTATTGACATTCATGCCTTGTGCAAATGCGGCTGGAACCCACAAAACTTCAATTGCTTGCTGTCTGAAAATCAAAAAACCTGCGGGCATTGAAATCAACAATTCCTGTTTGTAATCGTGCACAAAAAAAATGGTTGGGTAACGAAAAACTTGTTTCTTGAGTGGTTTAAAACGGAATTAGTTCCCGCGGTCCGTCGCCATCTTTTGTCTGTTAATTTGCCTCCTCAGGCACTGTTATTGATGGACAATTGTTCTGGGCATCCCTCAGCAGATGAACGGCCACAAACTTATGTTTCTCTGTCAACTTAGAGACCATGCTTTTGAAATGAAGTGTGAAAATTATAAACAGAAGAGTATCACAGACTTTTTCAAGAAGAATTAACTAATGTTTCACATATTTTAAATTACTGTTTTTCTTACATGGTTGTAATTTTGAACAGGTACATTTTTTTCTTTATGCTTTAATTTAAAAATTGATTAAAGAAATTAAAATGAAACATGTGTTTTATTACCATTAAATATGGCATACTATAATCCAGATGCCTCGATTATCCAGAAAAGGTCTTGTTTTTGCCTCTCCGGATTAACAAGGTCTTACTGTAGTTACATGTAGTTACTTCAAGATGTAGATAAATATATGTACATATTCTCACTTTCCATGGACCTGCATTACAATATTGAAGCCATAGGTATCCTGATGAGCTGGTGTATGGGAACCCTTGCTGCCAACCCATAAAGTAGTATCAGTTGCACCTTTTTCAGGATATCCAAATTCTTTCCATGATACCTCCTACAACATACAAATAATGATACATAGCTTATTTTTTTGAGTTTTCAAAATGTCAATGTCTTTAAAACATTTTTTATAATGACTCATTAATCATTGGACAGGAGAGTGAGTGACAGTTTGATTATGTTCAGATTTATAAACACTTTATTATTTTATTTAAATAATAATGCACAGCATATAATTAGCAGAAAGAATATGTTGGGTAACTAATAATTGTGGTTGTGCATTGTAATGTGTTAAAAACGTCACATTAGTTTTGTTTGTTTGAAGAGAGTGATAGAAAGCCTCTGTTAAGGTTGTTTCATTGTTTTCGTTAGTCCATGCATTCTTCTTTGTTTTTCTATGGCTTAACAAGGCTTCTAGACTGATTTGATGACTGATTGATTCCTTTGCTTACCTTTTGGAATGAACAAAAAGGGAGAAAATTTTAACATCACTTTCTGCCTACAAGATGAGAATCTCATAAAAAAGAAAGAAGAAGATGATGAGAATTTAGTAATCTAAATTTACATGTTAAACTTTTTAGTTTATCAATAACTTTTAATGGTGTGTTTTTCTAAATTGAAAAAGTGTTTTCCTTTAAATATTTCAGTAATTTTCATGTAGATTTTATTTTAGCAGGAGACACAAGTTTGCCATGGAGGTGGCTGTCAGCCTGTTTGCTTAATTTCTTTATAAAATGGTGAGAACCTGTGAAATTTCTTTTATTTTGTGCCATGTGGTAATCTGTTTAAATTTGAAATGTAAGCCTTTTTTTAATACTTAAGAAAATTTTATATTGGACCATGTAATAATCCTTTGTCATTACATGGGAGACATGTAATATATTTGGAAAAAATATGTTTTACTACCTTTTTTATTATTTCATAAGACGACACTTCATCACCAGTAATTATTAACTTTCAGTTATAATATTACTCAGATTCAATACTTGATCTTTTTGTCAATAAATTATCAACATGATGTTGTCCAATGATTAGTGAGTACAAAGTAACGGGGCCTAAGAATTGACACTTCACTATTTTCTTGTGAACAGATCTCTGTAACCTACCTTGTAGAGCTCAGAGTCTGCGCTAAACCACTGGTGAAGATACTTATAGTCAAAGTACATCCACTCATCACTTGTATCTAAACTATCAACAAAACTTTTGAAAGTCATCGGCATCACTTTGCATTTGCGTTCCCAGCATGGCTCATCAGACACCAAGTCCCTTTTCAGACACCGAAACGGCATTTCTTTGTCACCGAATATTGAACACCATTTTTCAACATTCCACTGGCAAATTCTCCATTTATTTATGAAACTTTTTAACACTATAGGTACACCAGTTTTTGTAGTTATACTACGTAAAACTTCAGCATTTAGTGAAGACATTTCGTACTATTTAATTATTTTTCATAACATTCCAAAACTCTGAATAAGTTTAATTATGTCACAGTCAGAGTTCCAAAACGAAAATAAAAACAAATCACCCACAGCTATTTCTTTGAGTATTTAAGCGGGCTACTGACTGACATCCCAGCCGCAGGGGCAATCTAGAGTGCAAAAGTGGGGATGACCCTTAATTGGTGTCGATTCTGGCATAAATCCTTAAACCTAAACTTAAATTCGATAACAAGTGTATTCTTGTCATTCTCTATATAGACAGAAAAGGAGAGACTGATGTTAAATTAAGTTTTAAGTTTAGAGAATCATGCCAGAATCGACACCATTACCTTCTTAATTGTGTGTGTTGGCAAGCAGGAGCAATTTTATGAACTGGCCCTGTGGCAGGGCGGCAGGGTCGCGAGACCACCCTTGGTTCCTAGATTGTCCCTGCTGCCCTGCACGTTGCCGCGTGTGTAGTGCGACCGTGGCAATTTCTGAATCAACTGGTTACTAACTGTCACACAGAGCGCACGTATTTCAATCAAGATAGCGGCAGATTATGAGCATGAAGTTTGTTCTCGAGTGACAAAAGTACATAAAGACCGACCCCACTTAAGGGATAAAAAAATACGTAAAGATTATTTATATACAATACATTTCTTTCTGTTGAAAATTCTTCACCCAGTATTTCCATTTTTGCGCTAACACCATTGAAAGAGCCGAGGCCCTACCTACCGATGTTTTGATTTTTTGATAATACTGGGGTCATTATCAACGCGTGAGTTTAGCTCAACTTATAGCCGAACACTGAATAGCAGGCATGTGCGTAGAGACATGCCGAAATTGCCCCGACCGCCGTGCGCTCTAGATTGGCCCTGCGGCAGGGATTTCAGTAGCCCGCTTTACTCTCAAATAGGTAGGTAATCAAAGGGCTCTTTAGACGTACCATACAATATGGAGATTAGAGATGGCATACCTACGAAAAAAACGTGTATACCTATAGTAACTAGAAAACGAGAATGGTGCCTTTACATAGTGCTGCCCCTTTGTATACCTTTATAAACACAAATAATTTTGTGACGATATTTCGATATTCTATTTATGTGATTTGTGACATTGAAATTTTTCTAATATTGATGGGGTATCACACAATACATGTTGTTATAATGTGAAAGTCTGTGTGTGTTTTTTACCTGTACTGCTAGACGGCTGGACGGATTTGAATGAATAGGTGTATATTTTATTTAAGCGCCACGTGAGCACCTATAAATTAAGTTCTCCTATAAACAAATTATACGCAGGTAAAATCGTGGGCAGTAGCAGCTAGTATTAAATGTCACCGTTATTCGTTCAGGCAAATTTATTGTTGTCTCTTTTCAAGTGGAGTATTATAGGTTAGTTAAAATGAGTTGGCTACAAGTTTATGAGGACAATATCGGTTGCTTTCCAATTACAGCATTATAGCGCATTATGCGGCATAATGCTTAACGTTGAGTGTTCCAACTACAGCAACGCTTCGCACAATTGAGCACTCTCAAAAGTGATGCTTTCGTGTGATGCGTGCAATCGTACCAACTTAGAGACAGAAAATTAACAAGTGTTTTTTCTTTAAGTTGGCATTGATCGAAATGTTTTATTTATATGTTATCGTTAGTAATATTATCTATTGTTGAAAAATTATTTAAGCTTTCGTTTCATTAAATAGTTTTTTTTAAATAATCAAAGTTCATTCAAACTGTTAAAAAATAAATATAAGTATGGATGAAGGTACAAACATCCCCTTTTTTTTAACACCGAACTTAGCGCACTCTGCTGGTGCATTTGAAAACTAATTCACGTTCCAATTAAGCATCAGCATAATTGGGCATTGTGCGGCACTGAGTCGCATTATGCTCTGTAATTGGAAAGCATACATCGATAACAGTCATATTTGTATAACCAATAGGCTAGTTTACTCATGTCGAATTGTATTAAATAAATGTTTATTTCTTAAAGTATTTAGTCTAAGGAACCTTAATATATCGATTTCACTTCATAAAAGCAGAAGATTGCTGTAGAAATTTAATTTTAAAAAATATTTTTAGTCTATATTTTTTAAACACTAAAAACGCTGTTCGCCACATCCGCCATGATTTTGACGTCTCTTGTGGTAAACAACTAAATGTCATTCGCGTGTTACTGTAGGTGGATTCTTTCGTCTGACTTTTATCTTAAAACACTTTTAACGTTAGGAAAGAAAAAAACATTGACAAAACTAATTATGGATGCCGGCTTTGTGAAAGCAGAAAGCACAAATCTGCCAATAGTTGACGCATTGATGGTTGGTGAATTTGTTACACTAAACCCCGATTTCTACTCTACGGAGCAGAGAAACGACAAGGCATCTATGTAAGTACAGTGCATTTAGTATTACAATGTAGTAATAAACATAAAACTGATACAACATATGAATAAGTGTAATAAAGTTGCGTAGGTTAATTTCTTTCGGCACTTTAATCCACAACTTTCCTGGAGTCTTCAAGGATGTGTTTTTATATTCTCGTACAATACAGTAATGATAATTACTTTAGTTTTCGTGGTATTTATCAGAAATCATGTTTTTTTTTATTATAAACTCAGTTAAAAGTAATTTTCTACGTGTTTACGAGTTTTTGTTTACCACAGTTCACGTCATAGCATAGATAATCTATAGACTAAAATGGCTGACAGCGTTTTTGTATGTCCATGAAAAGTCTATTTTAAAATTAAAGATTTGTAGCTTTCTAGGTTTAAAAAAAATACAATACATTTTTTTTCGGTCTAATAGAACATTTATTAACCATTTAAAACCTTTTTCCAAAAAGGGTCAACTAGCCTATTGTTATATAGAATACTATGCCATCTCCATAAGTTTAAGTTTTCAGAGACCTAGCCTACCATGAGCTGCAGACATATAATCTCTCTTAACTGTGATCATGGCATGGATTCTACATAGTAAGACCGGCTAATCAAATTCCTGCCGCAGGGGCAATCTAGAATGTAAGAGTGGTGATAACCCATAATTTTCTCCTTATTTGTGATGTGTGTAACAAAGGCAAATCAAATATAGAAAATGCCACTGCTTGTCCACACACATCATGTTGGTAAGTACTTAACTTGGCTTACGTATATTTGCTATTTATAAACTCTTCGACAGAGTGAAGCAGGGAGAATCTAGGGTGCACGGTGGTCGGGGCAATATCAGCTTGTCTCTACACACATGCCTGTTATTCAGTGTTCGGGGGTATGTTGAGCTAAACACATGCGTCGATGATGGTCCCAGTGTTATCAAAAAATCAGAAGATCGGTAGGCAAGGCCTTGGCTTTTTCTATGGTGTTACCGTAAAAAAGGAAATACTGGGTGAAGAATTGGCATCAGAAAAAAATGTATTGTAAATAAGTAATGTTTATATTACTAGAAAAAAATCCACGCGGACCAGGCAGCAGACGGGATTCAAACCCGCACCCTTCGCTATCCGGGCGAATGCGCTGATCATTTAGGCTATCGCGGCCCTGACGGCCGTATCGAATTCTATCTAGCCTTTCTTAGACTGCAAGGCAGCGCAATTATTACCTATAATGCGAAGAGATTTAATACTTGTAATAGTATTAATTTTACCCACAATGTCAAATTAATACCTTTACAAGTATTAATATAATACAAGTAAACATTTGAAAGAAGAAATAGCGATGAAAGTTGTAATTTTAATTTTTTAAGCATGTAACTGCTCAATGATTGAATCTAAAGAAAATATTACAAGAAAATTAAAAAAAAGGTATTTCTATTTTTCTAGTAATATTTTCTTTAGATTTAAACATCGAGCAGTTACATACTTAAAAATAAAAATTATTAAAAAAATCTATATAAATAATGTTTCTTTCTTTTTAATCCACATGTGGAGCCGGTCTTTATATACTTCGACTGACTGAGAAATTGCCCCAATCGCACTTCACACGCGGCAACGTGCAGGGCAGCCGGGACAATCTAGGGACCAAGGATGGTCTACACACAACACAATAGGCTAGTTGACTCTTTTTGGAAAAAGGTTTTAAATGGTTAATAAATGTTCTATTAGACCGAAAAAAAATGTATTGTATTTTTTTTAAACCTAGAAAGCTACAAATCTTTAATTTTAAAATAGACTTTTCATGGACATACAAAAACGCTGTCGGCCATTTTAGTCTATAGATTATCTATGCTATGACGTGAACTGTGGTAAACAAAAACTCGTAAACACGTAGAAAATTACTTTTAACTGAGTTTATAATAAAAAAAACATGATTTCTAATAAATACCACGAAAAATAAAGTAATTATCATTATTGTATTGTACGAGAATATAAAAACACATCCTTGAAGACTCCAGGAAAGTTGTGGATTAAAGTGCCGAAAGAAATTAACCTACGCAACTTTATTACACTTATTCATATGTTGTATCAGTTTTATGTTTATTACTACATTGTAATACTAAATGCACTGTACTTACATAGATGCCTTGTCGTTTCTCTGCTCCGCAGAGCAGATATCGGGGTTTAGTGCAACAAATTCACCAACCATCAATGCGTCAATTCTTGGCAGATTTGTGCTTTCTGCTTTCACAAAGCCGTCATCCATAATTTGTTTAGTCAAAAAAACTAAGTTTACTGTTTTTTTCTTTCCTAAAGTTAAAAGTGTTTTAAGATAAATTTAGTCAGACGAAAGAATCCACCTACAGTAACACGCGAATGACATTTAGTTGTTTACCACAAGAGACGTCAAAATCATGGCGAATGTGGCTAACAGCGTTTTTAGTGTTTAAAAAATATAGACTAAAAAATATTTTATTTAAATTAAATTTCTACAGCAATCTTCTGCTTTTATGAAGTGAAATCGATATATTAAGGTTCCTTAGACTAAGCACTTTAAGAAATAAACATTTATTTAATACAATTCGACGTGAGTAAACTAGCCTATTCAGCAGGCAATTAAGGGTCATCCCCACTATTACACCCTAGATTGTCCCTGCGGCAGGCATGTCAGTAGGCCGCTTTAATAAATAGAATCTGACATTTCCTTCCCCTCCTCTTCCTTCATCCATTTTCATCGGATACCATCAGTGTTGCCAGGTCTCCAGATTTTACAGGAGATTTCCTGTTTTTCTGTAATTTTTCCTGTTCTACTGTTTTTCTACATGCATCTCCTGTTTTTCTTAGAATACGATTTTCTGTTATAAATTGCATGGTGAGTTGTATTTTCTGCCATTAATAATGTAGGTAACCTTAATAATTATAAAATAAGTTTTATTGTCTACAAAAAAAAATAGCTTTGAGGGGCGTTACAAGCCACAGTCAACACATTCGTTAGTGGTCTTTATCTTGATTTGATTTACCAATTCTGGGGGGGGGATCTACTGTTTTTTTCTTTTTTATAACGCTTCCCAGTTTTAAAAAAAAAATCGGACTTGGCAACACTGGATACCATACACACACACACACACACACAAGGCATAAGGACAATGTATCCATTGCCAATAAATTTTAAAAAAATACACACACACACACCCGCGTAGTGCTTGCAATCTTGCATTGGTTTGTTTTGTTGTTGTTGTTGTCGTTTGATAGATTTTTCCTAAAATAGTTAAAGTAACCACAAGTCTTGTTGTCGTGTGGAATGGAAAGCCGCAATCATAAATGAATGTGCCTACCTGTTATTGTGATGTGTAAGTTTGGTTGATATGGGCTAAAAGTACCAATGGAGTGACGCTTTGCTTGTTCAATGTTTTCTGAACAGTTAGTTCGCTTTCGTGTTCTTTGATCATTTTACTATAGGTATCAGTTCAATGATGGAGCCGGCAGAAGTGATATCATCGTTTTTTTCTAAAGAGATTCCTATAACTACAAAATTTCTTGATTTAGTGGATGAAGTGAATAATTCTTTGGAACAGTTAGATCTTCCTAAAACAGTTCAATGTGTCTACAATCCAACTATATATGCTAGGTACACTTTTGAAAAGTATGTTTACAAATATTGCAGTTCAAAAAAGCGAATTATGTATTTCGGCATGAACCCGGGCCCTTGGGGAATGTCTCAGACTGGAGTAAGCATAAATTTTTATAGTGCATGCATATTTTTTAAGTTTTTTTTTATAAATAAGGATTAATATTATAAGTGAAAACCTGCAGTCAGGAAAAGCATACCTAAAGTAGATTGTAATAGGGAATATGCATGTAATTCATATAAGGCTCAAACTTTTTGTATATAAACTCTATTAATTTATAATTGTCCCTTCATCAATAGCTTTACATAAAATTTTTTTTTAGCTAGAAATTAATATTGAATAGTGCATAAAACTTGTGGGAAATTCAAATATCTGAAATTGACGGACCAATTGTGATGTAGACATACATATCCACAAACAAGCGCCATGCTCACAGGATATGTCAAAGTCAATGAGACCTAGTGCAAGTGAGTAATGCACTCAATCACACCTGACCCAATCCTTGTTTGTTTTGTTACTAGGTTGTCACATTAAAGCTTTATAAGGACCGCACTCCCGCTTCATGCAAACTAAGGCAAATCTCTTGTCCGCTTACCCAATGTTGTCACATCTAGCAGCTTTTAGGTAAACGTGTTGTCACATTGCCAACTGTTAGGTAGACCTATTTTGCCTCAATTCTACCTATTTAATTCTTAGATAATAAACAATTCTCCATTTTTATGTAACTTTAATCATTTACAAGGAGATAAATAAGTCTTATACTTGACACTTTTATGATTCATTTCATTTCTTCTATGCTCTTTATGTACCTATGTGTCCAAAACAGAGACATTAATTATGTCCAAAATATCTTGTGTTGATGTCTGTTATAAATAAGTATTGAATTCAGTAACTTTGTGCTGGAAACGCCAATCCATTAGCAAAAAGGCTGTAGAAAAAGCGATACGATCTGGGATCACTGATCCTGGCGTATATTTCGCTGCAGTTTGCGTGACTATTCGTGCCAATGTGAACATATACATACAAGATAGCTGGCGCTATCGGAACGAGTGAATTGCTTCGTGAATTCCGCGGGATTCGCCTCAGTCTCTACGATGCTTAAGAGTTCGAAAATAACAAACATTTGAAATGCATTTTACCAAATTTTTTTCGACATTGAAAATTTTTATACTTTAAAAAGGGAATGTTAATTACGCATTAAATAAAAACATGCATATTCCCTATCACATTTCAAAACTAAGTGAAAGATATTTCTTAAATTAAACTAGTGGTTGCTGAAAAACTTGCTGAAATTGTAAATATAAACCACCTGGGTGCATTAAGTAAACCTAAAGTAACTTTATTTGCATAATTTCTTATATAATACTACAATTCATTCACTTTGAAGATACAGAACAAATCTTCTTAAACAATGTTACTGGGTCTAGTTCAGTATTTGTATATCCAGTGTGTAATATTCACATTGTTGTTACAAGTAGGTAGTCATAGTCATAGTCATAATATTATACTAGGAGAATATATATATATATATCGGAGAATACCCTTATTTTGAAATTAATTACCGTTCCTTGCTCCTTGCCCAAGCTCGTGCTTGACAGATTAGTAATTGTATCGTCATTGTCAAATTTTGCATAGAAGAAGCCAGTATGTTCTTACGTCTGGTAGGGGCTCTGCTCAGTTTTCATAGAAACTGCAGATGTGATACGACAGGGAATGGAATATTTTATTCTTTTTTCCAACATTCTGCTTGGTCATAAGACCCGTCCTTGGTATAATGCAGACTGTACTCGTGCTGCGGCTCATAAACAGTCTGCTATAATTCATGGCTGAATGCTCGTAATTGATGAATTTGATCACAATTGGAGGTTCGAGTTAAGAACAGAGCCTTTATTTCTACTGCCAAAGCTTGCAAAAGGATGCAAAGAACTAGATTCAACCACATCAGCTGCATAAGGTTGAAATTTGCACCCTGTCCACAGCAGTTCTGGTCCCAGTAGAAATCAGTCGAATCCCACTTCTGGAATTCCCACATTCATTGCCCCTTTTTGGAAAGCCTGATGGGTCTCTCATTCCGCAACAGAAAAGGCAAATCTGTTTTCGGAAAATTCGTCTGGATACTAGTAGGACGCACGCAATAACATAACCCGTTGCATTTTCTCCATATACAATAAAGGAGTCCGTAAAGTCCTTCCTAGTCTAGATGTGAACAAGGCACTGGCATAATTCACGTTCACGTTCTTGACCACTAGGTCCTGATGGCATACCAGCAAGAATACTGAAGTGCTGTGCACCTGAGTTGTCTCCTGTACTAACGCGTCTGTAACGCCTTTCTCTCGCTATTGAGGGAAAGGCGGTACAGACGCATCTATATGCGTCACTAGTGCGACGGCCAGCGAAGGAAAAATGGAACTGATGAGAGAGGCCTTGGTAAAACGAACGAATGTGACGTTGGATTACGTCTACTAGCGGGGTGAGAGTAATATCGTCTGCTTTAATTACTCCAAAATGCTTGCATGTCTGTTCACCGCCAAAAAGAGTCCTATCACTATTTTCCGATGTACATCTGTCTCTGTGATCGATAGTCTCGAGCATGAGGTTGTAATGACCTCAACTTCGGCAGCTAGAAAGCTGGGCGTTGTAACGTTACACTGCCCTACTAGAGATAGGAGAGTGTAGCGCCAGCTTAAAAGAAAGAATAAAAATGTAAAAGTATGAAAAATAAAAGAACTCTAAAAACTACTTAAAGGAAAGAGATAAATATGAAAAGAGAATAATTTATTATGTACAAGCCTAACACAAAAGAAGAGAGAGGAACTTAGAAACTAAAAGAGTCAACCGGACTCGCGAAATAAACGGACGCGGCGGTAGTAGGTTGTTTTACACGACGTCGTTACTGTATCAACCTGTCATTGCTACGCGGATTTTTTTGTAACTGAAATAGTTCGCAAGTTCATGTGCAAACTTTCTCGTGAAACTGTGGTTGTTGGTAAGTTTACTATTTTTTCTATATTTAACGTTATTGAACATATTCATGGTAGTACTTTGATGATGAATTCAAAAGTTTCTACACACTTGTTTATATTTAGGGAAAGATACAGAGGTATACTTTAGCCCATGTTTTTGGGTAACTTTGTCTTTTGGGCCAAAGTTACCCGTCAACCTTGGATTTAGAAATATAGAAAAAAAACTATACCTACTAAACACAATCAAATTTCAGTCATACATAGGACATGCTACGGATATAAGAGCTGGTAAAGTCAGCCATAATACACGTACCTACTGTAGGTAAAGAACTCATGATTAATGATTATGTCATAATAACATGGAATACACTTAGGGCTGCCATCCGTCCGGTTTTCCCCGGATTTGTCCTAGTTTACGGGGCGTCCGGGCGGGGTTTTATTTGTAGTCCGAGTTTAAAAAATTACGGCAACGCATTAGTGGCCCTTGGTGCTGCAAGTGTCCATGGGCAGCAGTGACCACTAGCTGTTTTGAGGTGGTAGGTAGGATGAGGTAGACCGCTAGCTGTTTTGCCTAGATCAACATAAATAGTTGATTTGTGATATTTTTTTTTGGCCTGTCCGGGTTCTAGGCTCCAAAATCCGGGGTTATCACGCGTCTTATCCTGGTTGCCACATTTTAGAGATGGCAGCCCTAAATACACTTAAGTACCCAGGTAAAGTGGTCTCAATATCTGAGGAAGCAGTTCTTGTTTCCTGCATGAAAAAGGAATATCATATTGGCGATAGCCCTCGTTTAAAGACGAGCAATTATGCAGATGGGAACAAATAGTTTATAAGATTGGAATCCCCGAATTTATTAAAAATCGGTGCTTTTGTGTTCCGGAAATAGCTGCCAAAGAAAACATTGTCACTGAGGAATAATAATTGTTCTGTTATAATTTTATTTTATTACTACAAAGTTCCTGTAGTTAATTCAATTTAATTACTTAACAAAGTATAAATATTTTATGTAGCTTTACTTAAGAAATTCAGAATTTGTCAATATTTCATTGCACGTTTGATTAGTAAAAATAAATTCAGTCAAGTCAGTGCATTCGCCCGAATAGCGAAGGGTGCGGGTTCGAGTCTCGTCTGCTGCCTGGTCCGCGTGGATTTTTTTCTAGTAAACTTTTCTTTAGATATAAATTCGTTTATTTTTTTATTTAACTAAATGATTTTTTGGGCAAATACATCCGTTTGTGTATTAATTATAATTATATATAATATAAAGTAACCCTCTTTTAAGGCCAACTTTGGCCCAAAATAGAAAAAAATAAAAGTAGGCCTTTAACATTTTTTTTCCTATTTTCGTATCATAACTTTTTAACTGATACCATAAAGTTCACAATAGGAAGATATAAACGTGACATAGTGATCACAAAGAGAACCTACAAATAACCCACAGTTACTCGGTATATAAACTATAATCGATTCTCCTACTCCCTGTGTCCTATCTCGAATAGACTGTAGCAGTTTGTAATCGTAATCGAAGGATCCGATGTCTTTGTCGACTTGTCGATGTCGACGGCTTAGTTGAAAACAATACCAATGAAGAGCATCATCAATTGTGAGGTAACGCTTGTATACTATTGCGCATTTTTACTTTTGCGTCACTATTTCGAGACTCGTACCCCTAGCACAATTCGTATCGTTTGCGAGTCGGAAATTTCATTGTCAAATGTGTACTCATTTTTAGTTCTCGTTACGCACTTTGTGCCGCTGCTGTTCAAGTTTCCATACAAAATGTGACATTGACATTTCGGTTTGCAAACTATTCGAATTCGATAATGGTTCGTGCTAGGGGTACCGTTGCGAAATTATTGCGTCACTACTACTGCGCTCCCAAAGCATGGTCGTAGTACACTAGTTTCAGAAGCATTGCAGTTTTTTATACGATTCAGATTTTATTTCATTATTTTGGAAGTATACTCGTGGTTCATTAAATACTTTCATAAAACATTAGTATTTCGTTAAGTTCATGTGCCAATATTTTATTTTTATAATTGATTTATGTTTATATGATTTTATTACATAGTTACAATTGTAATTCAGTTTAATTTTTCACCTTATATACACAATCTATATCTGTCTTTAAGTACATACTTAAAAAAATGCTTTTTATAGTAAGAATGTTATTTTTGACAGGCTTGGTATATTCCAATCTTCATAATTTTGCACGACTGTTTTGCGATACCTTTACGTCACCGTAGCATAAATTATTGCGCTACTTTCATGTCACCGTCGCGCACTATTCTGCGTCACTAGTGCCAAAATTCACGGCCTCACCCGTATTCGAAATGAAGGCTCGAGATAGAGCGAGCCGCCCCGCCGCGCCGGGCGACCGGGCGGTCGCATTATATTTGATCTGACTTGTCCCTAAACTATCTAGATTTATACTAATAATGACTCATCATCACGTTTCTTTAATTTGCAGGTTCCTTTTGGAGAAATCAGTTCAGTTAGAGATTGGCTGCAAATATCAGGACCAGTTGGTAAACCACCAAATGAAATAAACGCTAGACGTGTCCAAGGATTTGAATGTTCCAGAACTGAGGTGACATTTATAATAATATGACAAATTAAATTATGAATTTATTTGATACGTATGGAAATTTTTAAATGGTAAAATTTGCCAGGATTATATAACATGAACTGTTACTGGCTCTAGTTTATAATGACAGTAAACATTATTTTAATTTCTGAATAATGTTTTAGGTACTTTATGTTTTACAGATAAGTGGAAAGAGGTTCTGGGGACTCTTTAAAGATTTATGTGAAATACCCGAAAACTTTTTCCAGACAAGTTTTGTTTACAATTATTTGCCTCAACAATGGATGAAAAGTAATGGTTGTAATCTTACACCTGGAGACTTCAAGGTAACATCAACGACATTAAATACTCTAGATACACCACTTGCACTCAGAATGTCTCTCAATCAAGATATGCTCGAACTCCACTGAAGCGTCTCGAGCACTTCTTAGTTCACAGTCACAGTACTTCACGTAGTCACGCGCGGACTGTTGAAAGTCAAGATGCCATACTTACTATAAACTGATTTAAGAAAAATATTTGTGATAAAATATTGCATGCATGGTCGGTAATATAACCGTCTCTTTTCCTCGCGTTCCGTACCGACTATATTGCTAACAGCGCATTCAGAATTGCGCGTAGAGTCAAAGAAATAAGGTCTTTATTCTTCTGCATATAGCAATACGTCGTAAAATACGAGCTTGCATTTCGAACTGCCATAACTCTTACGCATGCGTTATAATTCAGATCATACACTATGCATTAAAGGTGACTTTCAATGGTTAAATAATGCCTTATATTGTTTTTGACTATGCGATCATATAACGGAGCTCCGTGGATCATCCAATGTACCATTTGGACAGGTTTCGGGTACAATTTTGTTCGTATTGGTGTATCTAATATCGTTGGGTAACAACCCAAACTAATTACACCTTAATATACTAACTACTATCGGAATCTCAAATAGATTTTAATGAAACTTGATTTCTTATTTATAAATATGTCCACATTCATTCATTAGCTAACACTATTGATCAGCTCACTGTTTATACTACACCAAATTGTCAGCCGGAGGAATGTTCCAAATATATCATTAACCCATCGAGGCAGTTAAAAATAATAACCCAGAATAAACCTCGACTGTGAAGTAATCAAACTGACTGAGTGCTGGCTGATGCGATGTAGAGATGCTATCCCTCACATTTTTGACTATTCCTGACATGTAACTAAAAATATTTGTAATCAAAACGATGGCATAGTGATTTATGTTAAAAATTTGGAAAAATATACAATAGAAAAACCAGATTTTTCTAATGCTAGTTGTCTGGTAATGTGTTTATCGATCCCCTTCTTTCAATGACATAACAAAATTCCTTAACTCACTTGACGCTCTCTTGTTGACCTTAACCACATTCAAATGCATAGCTATTGTCGGAGACATCAACCTGGATGTTACCTGTAGCATATCCTCCAATAAAATTGCAGATTATCTGGTCCTATTCGCCTCACATGGCATACTTCCAGCTCATACTCTTTCTACTCAAGACGGCGCCTGCCTCGATCATGTTCTTCTCAAAACTAGTTTATCAGCACTCAGCATAGTGATTGACTCCCTTGTTACCGATCATAACCCCGTATTGCTGTGTCTTAATCTAAAAAAACGTCTCAACCAATTTACAAGCACTATGTCCAAAATTGATTACAAAACTTTGGTCTGTGATATGAAATATACAGATTTTCAGTCGATTTACCAACTTACCAATGCTAATAAAGCAGTAGAATTCTTAATCTCCACTTTCAGTACCCTAATCGTTTACTTAAGCCATTGATGACGATTGGCATGCTGCGCTGTATGCGAAATAGGGATTTAATGCATAAAAGACTTAAGCAATCTCCTAATAATACTATCCTAACTATTACTTTTAAAAGGTACAAAAATTATTGCACAAAAATCTTAAAATAAAATAAAAAGAGATTATGATAGGAAAAAACTGAAAGAAGCTTCAAAGGACAACAAAAAGATGTGGAAAGTTATTAAGCGTATAACTAATTCTTACAAACCTACCATTCCAAATAATGAATTACTCGCTTTCTCAACCTCACCCCAAACATCGGTAGATATGGTGAATGATTTTTTTGTCAATATAGGTAGATCGCTAGTTGAGCAAATTATACATTCCCCTGGAAATCACAAACTCTATGACGATTCTGTTGCTCTTCTTCTGCGGTGGGTTGGGACAACATAAGCTTCTCAAAAGCTACAAACAGATACTTGTCCCACTTCTCACAAATATCTTCAATCTCTGTCTTAGTTCAGGCATTTTCCCTCGATACTTATTATCCATCCGATATACAAGTCTGGTGACAAAATTTGCGTTAATAATTATCGTCCTATTGCTCTGTTACCTTGCATTTCTAAAATTCTAGAACGCCTTATCAACAAAAGACTCTTCAAATACCTGGAAGATAAAAAACTCCTCTCTTCAAATCAGTTCGGTTTTCGACGCAACAAATCGACAAACAATGCAGTGATCGACCACATCGCAGTTAATATTGAGAAAAAAAGGAAGGTTCTATCAATCTTTTTAGAATTGAAAATGCGTTCGAAACTGTCTTTATTGCTAAATTGGTATGCATATTAGAAAAACTTGGAATTCGAGATCATGCACTTAATATTTTCAAGGACTATCTCCACAATCGAACACAATGCTTCAAAATACAAAATTATAAAAGCAGCGAACTGCCAATAACTTTCGGAGTCCCGCAGGGAATTATGATTGGTCCAACTCTCTTTCTTGCATATATGAACGAGCTCTGCAATCTCATACTATCAAATGGAAAAATCACTGCATTTGCTGACGACTCGGTTCTTACCTTTTCTGGTGACACTTTACTTGAAACCTTTGATACAGCACAAAAGGGTTTGAATATTGTGACACAATGGCTCAACATGTACTCTCTCACTTTGAACACTGATAAACCAAAGTGCTCACCTATAACCTGCGTAATACTTCCCATCCACCAGAGTCTCACACCCTTGTCGCACACTCTTGTTTTCTGCCTGGAGAAAAAAATTGCAAATGTCCCGTTCTGGAACGCTCTAGGACCATTAAATATCTTGGACTTACACTTGACGATGGATTAACCTTTGCGACATATATCGAGATATTGACTAATAGAATAAGGAAGCTTATATATGTCTTTAAAACTCTTCGCTACGTAGCCGACGGTCAAATTATTAGATGTACTTACCTTGCTCTCTGTCAGTCACTCATACTGTATATGTGCCTGGGGTGGAGATACTAAAACAACTATTTTATAATTAGTACGCGCTCAGAGAGCTGTTTTATAAGACAGTACCTTTCGGCCCCTTTTTATTTCCAACAGAAGAACTGTACAACACCTTCCAAGTCCTCACAGTTAGACAACTAAACATCAGAAAACACATAATGATAAAATCACCACAAGGTGACGCAAAAACAAAGTGTGCAAACCTTTCCATTGCAAATACTCCGTAACCAGAATTACCCTGTTTCCAAGGACCGCATCTCTACAATAAACTTAACAAAATACTTGATTCTACTCATTGCCGATTCTGTCACTTAAAAATAAATTGAAAAACTGGCTTCTCTCCTTAAATTATAATGATACAGAAAACTTATTAAATAATTCCTTTTAGATCCTGATTCCATTGGTGTATTTTGATTTTTGACATGATTCTTTCCCTCCACTTTTGATCTCACACACACACACTTCCGCACGCACTTTTACGCACACACAACATACATACTCACTCAAACACACACACTAACACGCACGCACACACACACACACATACACACTTACATGCATTCAACAATTAGTTTTGATTTTTTTTAAGCATTTATCTGCTAGATGTTTAAATCTAAAGAAAAGTTTACTAGAAAAAAATTCACGCGGACCAGGCAGCGGACGGGACTCGAACCTGCATCCTTCGCTATCCGGGCGAATGCACTGACCATTATGCTACCACGGCCCTATTAGCCGCGTCGAAATTTTCCTAGCTTTAAGCTGCAAGGCAGCGCCATCTCTTCGCACTGTAGGTAATCCACAATGTCAAATGAATACTTTTTCAAGTATTAAACATTTGAAAGAAGAAATAGCAATTATAGTTATGATTTTATTTATTTTTTAAGCATTTAACTGCTAGATGTTTAAATCTAAAGAAAAGTTTACTAGAAAAATAAAATCCACGCGGACCAGGCAGCGGACGGGACTCGAACCCACATCCTTCGCTATCCGGGCGAATGCACTGACCATTATGCTACCACGGCTCTATTAGCCGCGTCGAAATTTTCCTAGCTTTAAGCTGCAAGGCAGCGCCATCTCTTCGCATTGTAGGTAATTCACAATGTCAAATGAATACTTTTTCAAGTATTAAACATTTGAAAGAAGAAATAGCAATTATAGTTATGATTTTATTTATTTTTTAAGCATTTAACTGCTAGATGTTTAAATCTAAAGAAAAGTTTACTAGAAAAAAATTCACGCGGACCAGGCAGCGGACGGGACTCGAACCCGCATCCTTCGCTATCCGGGCGAATGCACTGACCATTATGCTACCACGGCCCTATTAGCCGCGTCGAAATTTTCCTAGCTTTAAGCTGCAAGGCAGCGCCATCTCTTCGCATTGTAGGTAATCCACAATGTCAAATGAATACTTTTTCAAGTATTATACATTTGAAAGAAGAAATAGCAATTATAGTTAGACATTGTGGATTACCTACAATGCGAAGAGATGGCGCTGCCTTGCAGCTTAAAGCTAGGAAAATTTCGACGCGGCTAATAGGGCCGTGGTAGCATAATGGTCAGTGCATTCGCCCGGATAGCGAAGGATGCGGGTTCGAGTCCCGTCCGCTGCCTGGTCCGCGTGGATTTTTTTTCTAGTAAACTTTTCTTTAGATTTAAACAATTAGTTTTGTTTTATCCTTATATTTATTTAACTCAAACTTCACTTAATTAAATTTAATGTTTATACTGAAGCGATCATATCTGTGACCCATAACTGCCAATTGTAAACTCAGCCAACACATGGGTCGAGCCTAGCTACCTTAATAGAAGTTGTCTTGTCAACTTAGTAAGATAGCTAGTGTTCCAACAACTTGAGCTCCTTTCAGTGATATTAAGATTGTTAAAAAAAAATTATGATGCAAATAAATTATTATTATTATTCTTACAGGTGTCAGACATGGAAAGATTGTATGATATTTGCGATCCGATTTTTGTAAAAGTTTTGCAGTTGTATGAAGTTAAAACTATTGTAGCTATTGGAAAGTTTTGCGAAACTAGAGCACAGAGAGCACTCAAGAAGTACTTACCAGACGTTCCTATTGAGGTAAACCGATAATATAATATGGAATGGCTCTGCCACCACATGCTGTCTTAATAATTACTTTAATAACTACACATAATAAAGGCAGTCGTTAATCACCGTAATTTACTAATTTTGGTGGTCCCTTCTTTGCTAAAAGGTTAAGAACAACAGCTCTAATCCATAAGGTAATGTGCATGCGGTGTTTCAAAATGTTATTGTCCAACACATAAAATCATTTAGGCTAACATGATTATCATTTAATTAATCATAAAGCATATTTTTATAATAGTAAACAAAACTGTACTATTATTTATCTACTCGGATTTTGTGAATGTCCTGTTGCACACAGATATATTATGTAGATATATTGACTACCCCATATTTTAAATTCTTTTTCTACATTTTTCGGTTTCTGTTACTTTCTCGTACTTGCGCCTGCACTAGCCCTGTTACGCTTTAAGTAGAGTTAATAGAAATTTATTCAAAAATATACCGAACAAGCATAAAATGGACACACCCTGCCACATCATTGTCATTGGCTTAATCTTTTAGGAGCCATTAAAGAAGAAATTGAATTGAATCGTGAACAAACATACCTAATATTGCATAACTGTCAGAAAACATTCATCATAGCTTATTAAATTCTTAATTCATTCATTCATTACAAATAATATATTCTTAATCTTAGTAAAGTACTCGGCCCAAGAATTATTAAGCTCCAATCGTTCCAGCGGCTTTCGGTATCCAGGAGAATGCACTAAACGCTGAACCACAGATAACTTTTTTTTTTTTTATATATAGATAGGTCCGACAAATGACTCCACTTCACCCGATGTTAAGTGAAGGTGAAGTCCAGACGTGACGATAGCTGATACAGCAGTTTAACCTGCCACACTAGCCATCCTCACCCTGCCGGCCTGCATGTTGCTTCTTCACGCCTCTTTTAAAGGATCCCAGGTTGTAAGAGGGAGGGAACACGTGAGCGGGCAGAGCATTACATTTACGGATAGTGCGACAAAGAAATGAGTCACCAAATTTCTTTGTACGCGTTGGAATTGTGGCCACAGTTAGACGATGACAACGTAGGCCAGCGCGCGTGGTCCTCTGAAGGAAAGGAGAAGGTGGGATAAGAGAGAATAACTCCTCAGAACACTCGCCGTGGTACAGACGATAGAACGCGCTTAGTGACGCCACGTCACGGCGTAATTGAAGAGGCTCAAGGTGTTCAGTCACCTCCTCATCGTCTATGATGCGGATCGCGCGTCGCTGTAACCTATCCAAAGCATCGAGCAAGTACTTGGCGGAGCCATCCCAGAGGTGCGAGCAATATTCCACGCAGGACCGCACTTGCGTTTTGTACGACAAGCACAGTTGATCGGGCGTGAAAAAACGCCGCACCTTGTTCAGGACTCAGAGTTTGCGTAAAGCTGTTTTGATCACGGTTTCGATGTAGTTCTTTGGATTCAGGTCTGAGCGAACTTCCATACCGAGCATGGAAATGTTGCTCTGCAGCGGTAGTGTTGTGCCCTGAAGAGATGGAAGGGGAAGGAATGACGATGTTTTTGCCGTGAAAGCGCAAGCCTGAGTTTTTTTGGCATTGAACTCAACCAAGTTCCTGGTACCCCATTCGGAAATGTGGTCCAAAGCCTGATTGAGTTCAATGACAAGATTCTCGCGTTTCTCCTTGGTTACCGCCAGCCCAGCCGCTGCTTGCTGAACTACTGAGAACTTTAACGTTGCTTATTGCAATATGATGGCACTGCCTGCCTTGCAGCATTAAAATATTATAAAACGTTCGGCATTCGGTGCACTCTTCCCAAATATGTATTTAACGTACGTGTATTTTCTCTTTTTTATAGATAGTTTATTTACCTCATCCAAGTCCTCGATCTGTAAATAACAATAACTGGGACCAAAAAGCCATCGAATACTTGAAAAAATATGACATATTAAAATTTTATAAAACTTCGCCAACGAAATAAAATAGGAGGGTGAGTAATAAAAACAAGTCTTTTAAAATTATAAATAAATAAATATTTCCAATACTCGCACCAATTAGCCTAGCCCCAAAGTAAGCACTAGGTTTGTGTTATTGGATACGAGGGTAACCGATAGAATTCATATATTGATAGATATAGGTTACATATATTTATATAGAAATACATATTAAACATCCATGACGGGAGTACAAATGTTCGTATTCATCACACAAACTCGAAACCCGGGTGATGACCCGGTAGGCGAGTAGGCGACCCGGCGTACAAACCACCCGGCCACGGAGGTCGTCAAAAGTCTCAGTTAAACAACATCCTTAACAATAATCGTTATTTTAGTTAATATAATATTTATTTGTAGGTGCCAGGTGCCGATCTTCTATTATTTATGAAAAAACCGAATTCATTGACATGGCAGTGTTTATGAAAAAAGCACTCGATCTAGCAAAGGAAGCTCTTGCAGCCCAAGAAGTGCCGGTTGGGTGCGTTTTCATCGTTGATGACAACGTTGTTGCGGCATCGAGGAACACCGTAAACCAAACTAGAAACCCTACCAGACACGCAGAAATCAATTGCATTGATGAAGTCATGCTGCACTGTGAACGCAACAATGTTGATTACCGTGACTTTTTTAAAAAGATTGTAGTTTATGTTACCGTTGAACCATGTATTATGTGTGCAGCTGCGTTAATCAATCTTTCTGTTAAGGAAGTGGTATATGGATGCGCTAACGACAGATTTGGCGGTAAAACTGTATTAGATATTAGTATATTTTTCAAACACAGTTACTCGTTAACTGGTAACCTTTTTGCTGATGAAGCAATGTCTTTGCTCAAACAATTTTATAAAGGCACTAATCCCAATGCGCCAGAGTCAAAGGTTAAAAAAAAGATAAATTGATTGTGCTGTGATTTTTAGTTTTTACGTGATAATTTCATACCTCAATATTTTAAAAAAATATAATTATTTCTATCTACTGAAGTATCACTGTGACTTAATCTTACTAATATATAAGTGAATTTGTATGATATACATTATGTTTTATTTCTCACCATAACCGAAATGACCACAGAATACATAATAGAACAAAACACAGAAGGTATACTTTAGAAAATCAATTAAAGCAATGGGGACTCTAAGCTACGACACAATTAAGTGCAATTCAGATCGCGTGGCTCTTACAACCTGCAGTTATTCACCTAGATCCTGGGTTCCGAACCTGGGGGTAATTACCCCTCCGGGGGTAAATCAGCCATACTTCGGGGGTAACTAAGAACCTAATTATTAGGTCAAATTTAAATAATACGAAAATACTATACAATAATACTACTAAATAGAGCATGCGCTCCTTCTTGCTAGCGAGCCCGCCGGGTGCTGAGTGCTGGAAGTGGGTCGAGATTTTCTCCTGATGATGACATTATTAGAGACGAAGATGTAGCGGCCAAATTGGAAAATCTTGGACTGATGATAACATTTTAAAGTCGGGGTAAAATCTGTTTTCCTAATAGGTTACAGGGGTAGCAGTATTGGAAAGGTTAGGAAACACTGACCTAGATAGACCAATAAGCGCCACCTGTATTTTGGGATTTGCGTTTTCTTCCTCATTAAAAGACTGAATGAAAAGCTTGAAGAAGTCGCGAGGTCGTTCGAGCAGTCAAGTCACTATACGGTACTCATATGTTAAGCAAAACAGAAAGTTTAAAATTATTTAACACTAAGTTAACTACTCGCCGCGTCGATACAGGCCATTCAATCGAGCGGGCGAGACTGAACTGTGTCGTGCCCCCTAGCACGAACCAATATCGAATTCGTATCGTTTGCGAGTCCGAAATGTCATTGTTAAATGTGTACTGATTTTTATTAGTTCTCGTTACGCACCTTGGTGCCGCTGCTGTTCAAGTTTCCATACAAAATTTGACATTGACATTTCGGTTTACATACTTCGAATTCGTTAATGGTTCGTGCTACTGTACGCTTCAACGCAGCGCGAGCGAAACGGCGAGTCCGCTTCCAAGTCCGTACGGCTGAGCTCTAAGAACATATACCAGGATACCATTCTACCATAGGTATATCTTAGAGCATATAATTTGCTGAGCTTTTCTTGATAACAAAATGGCGATTACGTAAATAACATTCACGACAAACCGTGATTTTTGAGAAAAAAATGTTTTTATTTTTGTTTTATCTGTTTATAATGTGAAGGCATTGTTTTAACTTTATAACACAGAACATACGCAATATTGTTATATTGAGTGCAGATGCAGCGTGTTTGAATGTCCAATTGTGACTAAAGCGAATCGTGGTCATGCACCACAATTTAAGCGGATCACTATTGAGCCGCGAGTGCGGTATGTTCCCTTTTTGTTTTGATCTTAGAGTTTAACCCTCGAACTGTCCGCATGATACTGTGAATGGCTGGTCGCGGTCGCAGAACGAGGAAACACCCACAGATAGAGTGCGCAAGCGCTAATAGAAACTATCTGTAAGTTTGCCGCAACAACCAGTCGTGCCGGCCCGGTGCGCGGCCAGTTAGCTGCTGCGGCCAATGGACAAGAAATCTGCAAAATTTGACCACTAGGGGCGCTGTAATCGCTTGACCCAAAACTTCTACAAATACATACATAATAGCATATATTCATTTTTGAGCTTTTTATTAAACAAATTACAAATGCCGCATTGTGCAGTTCCTGCTTATTGTGAGAACGGAAGGCACAAGTTTCCAAAAGACCGGAAAGTAAGAAGATTGTGGGAACTAGCAAAAAAAAAAAGGAATTTTTTCAAGGCTAATGACAAATCGAAGTTATGTCACAAACATTTATGAAAATAAATAAAGATTGTGATTACCTGGGCGATAGTTCCAGTACGGGTTAGTATTTAAAAATGTATTATAGACAATAAATGCATACTTACCGACTTAAATATAATTTTTTATGTTACTTTGAAAGGGGGGGTAGAACTGAGCTGCTGTTTACATCATGGTATGTATCTAGAGCAGGTAATTGCATCTGGATGACTTCATTTTGATCAGCAAAAACTGCATCAAAATTAAAATTGCAGACATATGCCTCAAGTCTGTAAAAACCACGGAGGAAAAACAAAGAGGAGGTGTGGTGATTAAATTTTCTCAAGAAACGACGCGTGATAATTTGCGGGATGCGGGGTGTTCAGCTCCGCCCACTTCTCAATATTTCATCTATCGGCTAATAGCAAAACTAGCTTAGGTTGATATTTATGTTACTACGTAGTAGTTCAGCTATCTAACACTAGATGTTCAAAAGTTTTGTATATAATGGGACGTACTCAGAATCGAATATATCAAATCAATATCAAAAATAACTTAACTTTACCTGCTACTAGGCTCCACAAAATCAATAATTCGTTTAGAGGTCTTAGTGTTCGCTTTTACAATAAAGTTCCAAGCAATATTCAAGAGTTAAGCATGACTAAATTTAAATCGACCATTAAAAAATCACTAGTTAAGAAAGCATATTATAAAGTGTCTGATTATATTACAGACAAAAATGCTTGGGTATGAACTGTTCCAACCATTCCAACGGGTATTTCTATATGATTTAAATTATGAATTATGTGTTGACAATACTATAATTAAACTGAAAGCTGTATATAAAGTTAATAACTTAAGTAAGATTACCAGACTGTTTAAGAATATTTGATTGACAAAACGGCGTGGTCGTGATTTCTCCTTTGCTTTGTTTTGTAATTGTTTGTTGTGTCTTACTGGTAAATGACCTTAATTTGAGTAAATATGTTGTAGTTAGTATGGGTAGTTATGGGTAGTCATGCTCTCATAATAGTCTCTTCGGCGGTGTCGTGTGAGGCGGGTCGTTACGTTCCCTAAAATATGGTTGAGCGAAGCGATGGCTGGTTCATGCGTCATGCTCGTGAACGGGTGCTGCCAGCGGAGATGAGTCTGCCCTAACTTCCTTAATATTGAAGTTAATGTTTAGTCACACTTAATATAAATAACACTATTTGTATTTATACTGTATGACACAGCAATCAAAATGCAGGTAAACAATTAATGTATATTTAATAATTATGTAATGAAAAGTGACTTCATGAATCACCTCTGAAGTCATTTTTCAATTTGACGACTCTGTAAATAATAAAACAGGGAGAAAAAAAACAGCCCTTGCTGAGTTTCTTGCCGGTTCTTCTCAGTACAAGGTCTCCCGCCGTAGATTTACGAACCGATGGCGTAGCTTCTAGACATTCATATGTGCTTGTAACAGCCTAAACTGAATAAATGATTTTGATTATGATTATGATTATTACTTGAAGCTTCAAAAAAATGAAATATGTAGGTAAATAAATAAAATAAACGTTAACAAATTTGACCGATTTTAAAATTTTTAAGCTATAATTTTTATTATTTTAAAACATGTAACTGCTTGATGAAAAAAAATCCAGGCAGACCAGGCAGCAGACGGGACTCGAACCCGCACCCGCTCCCGTCTGCTGCCTGGTCCGCGTGGATATTTTTCTAGTTATATTTACTTTAGATTTAAATTTTAAGGTAGTTTAAAAATAATAGACAAAATGTTATTACAAACATAATTTTATTAAAAAACATCAATTACCTGTAAATAATAGTTTTGGTTAGTTGTTGTCGGTTGGTTGCCGTATCGTTTTGTATTGTGGCAAAATGCTTAAAACGAATATCAATATATTTTTCTGCAATCGATTTCATCAGAAATACAACATGATTAACTGTAGGTGATTGGTCAAACATATGGTTGGCCGATTTTTTGAAACAATCTTGTCCAATAAGTGATTTTAATGTATTCGATACAATTTTATGTTTACGAAAGTTAGGAGTATTCAAAGATTGCGATTTAACACAACGAATACTGCCTTCGGTCCGTATACATATTTTTATGACATCTCTAGATGGGAAAGTAAGACCACCCTTATTTTTAGTTTTTATCAAATCAAGGTCACTATCGTCGTAGTTATCAGCATATAATTCTTTGAGACAGCTCTCACATTTGATCTTGGAATGTAAATATTTGACCACATACCCAGAAATATATGCTACTATTTGACGGCGCAAATAGTCACCTATAGTTGTATTTAATTGTTCATCAAATTCCAATAACATATCGTCAGGCATAGGCTCGACATCCGTGCTATCCGAAGACTCGAAACTCATTTTATTTAAAATGCGATAACGTTCTGATGTAATATTATTTTTTTGCACAGAAGATTCATTTAAAATGGAAATATCTTCTTCTTCTATGGTGTCCAATCCGGTCTATTAAGTTTTGAAATCCATTGCTGTTTTAAATTATCGTTGGATGGAAATCTAAAACGAACATAAAAATAATTAAAATTTATTTACTTGGTAAATAATTTAATACGTATTACGGCCCTGGATATTTGTAACGTTTAAAAAGTTATTCTATATGACGACAGAGGGCGGCCAGTTAGTAATATATTGATAAAATTACTGTTTTAAATACTAAAAGTTATTTAGGAATAAGTGTATAACAGTTTTCAGTATTTACGTATGATTATTACAATATAATACTGCAAAATTATACGTAAACTTGTGTATTTTCTTCCTAAAAGTGTCGCCATCTGGTGTCAAGTAGTAGAATTTTAACGCTGAAAGCTGAGGCTGAGAATGTTCTAGAACTTATATATTTAATTACGTATAAAATTACTTACAAATGAAATGTGATGCCATCCATATTATCAGAACGTCTGTCTGAGTAACTTTGACATAGTAAAACACAAAACTTCATCCTTTTCTTGTTAAAAACGCAAAAAAACACTTATAATGCGAGTCTCGTTAAGTGTGCACCTGACGAACGCTGAAAGCATACTGACTTAGGCCCCGCCCACAATGATGACGTCAGGACCTAGTTGAAAATCACAGTGCACAGTTGCTTAGGCCAGCTCCTCTTTGTTTTTCCTCCGTGGTAAAAACCCAATGTTATACTTCCTATTTTAGCCAGAGGTAACTAACTCTATGAGATATCTGACTGATGCAAAAATCAGATAGCTTTGTCTAATGAGCCCGCTAAAAGTTACTAAATAAAAATAAAATGCCTCTGAGAATGAGCATTCTAGCATAATAATAGAAACAGTACCTTTCTACAAGATCAGCTTATCTGCCTTGCACTGATGCTCCTTTCCTTTTCAACTGTATTACAGACCATATTGTTGTTGTTATATTTTTAACATATAAAAAACGCGTTTAAAATTTGACAGCTGCAATATTCGGCTGTGGTTTAGGTCAAGCGTTTGCAGCGCCATCCATGTTGAGCTTTGCGTATACTTTTCAATTGCGCGATGTTCTTAAGGTTTATTCAGTAAATCTGGCAACAATATTAATATCCACTGGTTGTGGCCATCTAGTACGCGAAATGCCTTCCATCACGCACATACTTAGGTATTATTTTCGACATTTTCAACAATCTTCTGTAAGGTTATTGGAGCCAGTTTACCAGCTGCAGGTAATATTATTTTTATGATTAATTAAAACAGAAATAATGTATACTTAATCAAGAGTTAAGTTGACTATTTTATTCAGATATAACTGAAAATAAAATGCAAATAAGTCCCAACAGGTAATAAAATAATACAAATAAAAATATTACATTTTTGGAATATTTATGGAAACTTAAATATTGCATACAAATTTAATACCACAAATCTATTGCTAGACTAAGGGTGAGACTACTGTTATTATAGACAGTAAAGTTGCGAAGTGTAGTCCATCATCCAATAACATTGAAGCACATACTATTTGTAATAATATTAAAACATCCATATTTTGATTAATGAAAACTTATCAGAATACAGTCCAGGCAGGGTTCATTTGTCCAAAAAACATTCATGTTCTTACTTAAATACAATACATATATTACTCTTCATTTATATTTTACCCTTAGACCTAGAGCACTATAACTGCTCACTGTATCAACATAAAAGTGAGATCTTTTCACAAATTGGAATAAACATGTTTTCTTTAGCATGCTCAAAACTCGCTACTGACAAAATATCCACAGGGATATCACAGAATAATTTCACTAAACCTAATATTGAGATCTCACAGTTACATTCCCACAGTGACAACCAATATTATTTGTACAACAAAGCTTTAAACTATCATAGGCAAGTAACTAAATGCATTGTGCTTAACATGTCCCCATCATTCTATGTTGAAGGGTTATTGTCTAAGCTGTCCTTTAATTTCTTTTTTTTACTTACCTTAAAGTTATTATTTCTTAAATTAAGATAAATAACTTATGGTTTTGATAATATCCTCAATTTCAACTCTTGTGAAATTAAAAAGACTACTTTTACAAAAACTGCAAGTCATTTTATGAACTACAATCAAAATAAGGATACACAAGATTCAAACTTAAAAACCTAAACTTAAGAGTAAAAATCCAGAGCTCTAGAAATTTTCCGGACTATGAAACCCATTAACAAGTGGTTCACTTTCTATTGCATCTGTTACACCATTTTGTCCATTTATTTCACTTTGATTTGGAACAATTTCATTGTTTTCTGGTTGCACATCATTTGTTGGACTGTTGCTGCGGCTTGAGCTACTACAGCTATCAGAACTAGATGAGCTATCACTCTCTGAATCTTCACTTGTTTGTGAAACTTGGCGTAAATGTTCGTTTTCTTGGTTTAATTTTTCATTAGCCAACTTCAAGTCACGTATTTGATCCTCCTGCTCCTTCAAACGCTGTAACATATCACTAATTGTAGGTTCCACTGGATACACTGTACTCGATTCATTGGAGGTACCAGAAGTATCCCTGTCTGTTAACATACTGTCTTTATCAGTAATTGACATATCTTTGTCAGTTTCATCACCATCTCTCTCCTCATCTGAGACTTTATTTTTTGTACGGTCTGTTCTCTTAACGAGATTATCATATTTAGCTTCTAGAATAAGATACTCCTGAATTAATTCATTTTTTGACATGTTAGTTAAACGCTCGGTCTGTGCGTCTTCATAAACACTGGAAAATTCCTTAGTTAAGTACTCTTCTTCATCTTCAGGTAAAGAGAAGAAATAATTATCTTCTGAATCAATGCTGAAACTGGAATCTCGTGTTCGTGCAGACGGAGTTTGAGCTAAGTGAAGATTGTTATCGGGTTCTGGTTTATGTATTTCCATTAGGAATTGATTGTTATTGAAAGGAGCGCGCGACTTTGCCACAACAATCTTTCGGAATCTATTGTTCCTTTTCGGTTTATCGTATTTTTTTCTGTCTTGCCATGAAACTTTGTAAAACGGTTTCATAATTTTTCGTTTAGTTTTGCCGCGCCTCCTCTTTTTTTTGACAGTCACATTGGTTGATTTCTGTATTTCTGTGATAGGTGGCGCCTCAATCAAAAGAGGTCGCGTCGAGACGCCATCTTTTATATCTGATAAACTATTTACATCCATTTTTGGATGACCAAATCTTCTATTAATCACAATTTTCGGTAATAAATGTCAAAGTAGAAACTTTACTTATCTTTTGACTTGACTCTTCTCGACGAACTTAATTTCACTACAGTTCTGTTCACGGAGCTTCTCAGCGCTGGAACGATCTTGCGCCATCTTTTTGTTTTTTTTTTAATGTCCTGTTGTTGTTGTCGTAATCATTCTGCCTATGTCAAAGAATATTATTTTACTTAAGTAAAGCCTGACACTAATATAATAATTGCGTCTTTTTTCACTTTTGTCACCAATAAGCACGATATCATATTGGGTAAGGTAAATAAAGATGTTTTAAAAAAATTTCGTACGTGTTTTGGATTGATTGATTTAAATTTAATTCCGAAATGAATGATAATAATGTCGATTCTGACATGATTCTCTAAAGCTAAACTTAAATTTGACAACAGTGCATCCCTGTCATTCTCTATACAGAACGAAAAGGAGAGACTGATGTTAAATTTAGTTTTAAGTTTAGAGAATCACGTCAGAATCGACACCAGTATCATATTATCATCATGACGTTTATAGTTTATAGAAGAAAATAGTTTAATCTTTGTTTTCATAACTATTTGTATGTGATTGAATGGTTATAAATATACATTCTACAGAAAATCCTATTATCGGCACAAATTCTCAATACTGGAATCTATTCTTCTAATAGGCTAGTTGACTCATGTCGAATTGTATTAAATAAATGTTTATTTCTTAAAGTATTTAGTCTAAGGAACCTGAATATATCGATTTCACTTCATAAAAGCAGAAGATTGCTGTAGAAATTTAATTTAAAAAAATATTTTTTAGTCTATATTTTTTAAACACTAAAAACGCTGTTCGCTCCATCCGCCATGATTGTGACGTCTCTTTCAGTAAACAACTCAATGTCATTCGCGTGTTGTTACGGGTGGATTCTTTAGTCTGAATAAATTTTTCTTAAAACACTTTTAACTTTAGAAAAGTTTCCGTTTACTGTTTTTTTTGACAAAACTAATTATGGATGCCGGCTTTATGAAAGCAGAAAGCACAAATCTGTCAAGAATTGACGCATTGATGGTTGGTGAATTTTTTGCACTGAACCCCGATTTCTGCTCTGCGGAGCAGAGAAACGACAAGGCATCTATGTAAGTAAAGTGCATTTAGTATTACAATGTAGTAATAAACATAAAACTGATACAACATATGAATTAAGTGTACTAAAGTTGCGTAGGTTAATTTCTTTCGGCACTTTAATCCACAACATTCCTGGAGTCTTCAAGGATGTGTTTTTATATTCTCGTACAATACAATAATGATAATTACTTTATTTTTCGTGGTATTTATTAGAAATCATGTTCTTTTTATTATAAACTCAGATAAGTTATTTTCTACGTGCTTACGAGTTTTTGTTTACTACAGTTGATATCATAGCATAGACAATCTATAGATTAAAATGGCCGACAGCGTCTTTGTATGTCCATGAAAATTCTATTTTAAAATTAAAGATTTGTAGCTTTCTAGGTCTCTAAAAATACAATACATTTTTTTTCGGTCTAATAGAACAGTTATAAACCACTTAAAACGTTATTCCAAAAAGGGTCAACTAGCCTATTGTTGGCATTAGTTAAAAGTAGGATATAGAAATCTACCTAGCTACCCATAGATAAATGATTGGTCTCGCTTCGTGAAGCGAAACCAATAAATCATCTATGTAGCTGTTATGGGCTAAGTGATTAATCGAGCACTATACATAATGCCCGGGTAATATGAGTAATGCCAATAAGAGCGGGCAATGTGATTATAACCAATCAATTTAACACATTGCCCGGGCATTATGAATAATGCCAAGTGACTATTGGGCAGAGTGATGTAAAGCATGTTTAATACTTTCAAATGAGATGGACCGAGCATTACAAGTAATGAAATCAATTATTGGGTAGAGTAATAAGAAAAACATGTTTTATAGTTTAGTATTTATTTTTAAAATTTAAATAATCACACTTCGGTTTTACTTCGATCAATTTACGAAGGGCTACATTTAGAAACTATAGTCTATGAAAAATTCATTAAATCTGTTAAATGTTCAGAACTTTTGTTTCCCTATTTTTTAGGATGCAAGGACTAGGGAAGTAATAACTAGTACTTCTGCCTTATCTCCGACGCTGCGGGAATAGCAGCCCCTCCGCCTTTGCGTGACAAAGTCACAAGCATCACTCCCCTTCACACCTTCGGTTTGTAGGTCGACCAGCCTCAGGCGCTACGGGTCGCACGATTCTTGCGGCTTTGTCACAGCAGGCGGGGCTGCTCTCTCTCCGCGCCTCCGGGCTCTAAAAACCACTCTAGGGGTAGGGTAGACCAAGACCACGGCGTGTCGGGGTTGACCAATTCGGTTCTGACTTAAAAACTGTTGTAAAGCCACATTTACCTTTTTTTCTAAGTGTTGAGCCCATACTATTTTTTATTTACCAAGATTTCAAAACAAACACAAAATGGCGAGACATCTGTCATTTTGACAATAGTACCCACTTTATGAATTTTATTTATTCATACTGCCCGGTCCAAGCGATAAATTCAAGCTATCTCAAACACTGACTTATTACATGGACCACGAGCCGTCCGGCATTATTAATAATGACCGGGCAATGTGACAAATAGGTGAGTTTAGATTGTAATTAATCACTTGGCCCCATATGGCTGGGCATTATTCATACTGCCCCGGCATTATGAATACTGCCTGCATTAATCACTTGGCCCATAACATAGCTACCTATCATTTTAAAAACAAGAAATACTTATTTACTTTCTACTTTCTCATACCCAGGGTATAATAAAAATAAAACAAAAACACTTTTTTATTTAAATAAAACTAGTTTTAGCGGGTTAATGCACGAAACTTTATTTATTTATTGACGTTTCGTGCATTAAACCGTTACAACTAGTTTTATTTAATGATTGATGTGCGTGAAAACCTAAGAAACAAACACTTTTGTATTTAATCATTTTGAATAATATTAATAGTTACAAGAAAACATTTTTTTTTTCTATTTATTTGGGTAAACAAACAGTTACCAAGTAAGTACATAAGAATTCAGTATTGGTAATTAGATAATAACTTTGAAACCAGCACCGTTTACCACTTATATTTAAAATACATATTAAAACAGCGTTGAGTGTAGTGATAATCTAAGTATCGCTAAATAATGTTGATTAAAAACGAAACTTAATTAATTTGATGAATTTCAGAAAATCTAATGGTGTTTACAAGTATCTTGATAAATAAGAATTATAATGTAAGTCATCATCAGTTAAACATATTACTTTTATGCTCTAAGTTTGGCAATTAACATATTTTTAAAAGTACTTGGACGAATTGCTGCCATGTCTATTGAATGAAACATCTCGTTGTAAGATTTTACCAAACTGTGAATGGGGATCGTCATTGCCGTCTTTGACCTATTGGAGGCCCTGGGCATATTAGGATAATTTGGCCCCTATGACTTCCGTTTGGAACCTAACCTTTGCTCCGGAACTAGGGACTTTGTATATGATTTGAGGGGGCCCCCTATCGATTGCGGGGCACTTGCCCAAAGTGCCCACTGGGAAAGACGGGTCAGGGGATCGTTAACCTGCGTTAGTTGGACATCGAGGTGTTGCAAATAACCGCCAAGGCGTGCGAGTATGGGTTCGGGTAGGTACTTTTTAACATAAATATTATAAGTATGTAAATCTAGATGTAATTTGGAGTCCAACAGTATTCCAAGGTCTCATAAAGACTGAACCGATTCAAGCTGCATACCAGATAAGGTGTAATTGCAGTGACTATGCTTTCTTTTTTTGGTGAATGTGATGGATTTGCACTTAGTAATACTTAAATCCAATTTGTTTTCATTGCAGTAGTCAACTAATTTATCTAGATCCGTTTGAAACCTAAGGTGATCTTCGGAGTTTTCAATTATATGGTAGATTTTCAGGTCATCTGCGTAGAGAAGATAATCACAAAACTGAAAATGGTTATGTTTGTCATTTATAAATAAAACAAATAGTAGTGGACCTAGAATGGAGCCCTGCTGGACACCTGAGGTTATTTTTTTTTTTATAGATAGGTCCGACAAATGGCTCCAACCCACCTGATGTTAAGTGAAGGTGAAGTCCAGACGTGAAGATAGCTGATACAGCAGTTTCACCTGCCACACCAGCCATCCTCACCCTGCCGGCCTGCATGTTGCTTCTTCACGCCTCTTTTAAAGGATCCCAGGTTGTAAGAGGGAGGGAACATGTGAGCGGGCAGAGCATTCCATTTACGGATAGTGCGACAAAGAAATGAGTCACCAAATTTCTTTGTACGCGTTGGAATTGTGGCCACAGTTAGACGGTGACAACGTAGGCCAGCGCGCGTGGTCCTCTGAAGGAAAGGAGAAGGTGGGATAAGAGAGAATAACTCCTCAGAACACTCGCCGTGGTACAGACGATAGAACGCGCTTAGTGAAGCCACGTCACGGCGTAATTTAAGAGGCTCAAGGTGTATAGCAGGCGCGGTCCGAAGGGGGGGGGGGGTCACAGGGGACATGACCGCTCCCAAAATCTCAGGTCATTTTTGACATTTGTTACAAAGTAACGTCTTATAGTACAGATAAAGGAAAAACTGCGAAAACCGTGAATTTTTAGTTACATCATAATATAATAAAAAATATTTTTTTAAATTCAGGTGTGTACGGAACCCTTGGTGGGCGAGTTCGACTCGCTCTTGGCCGGTTTTTTTTATTAGTGTAATGAGTGACCCCCTCCAAAGGAGAATGGTCATTTTACTTTGGGAGTTGGGCTAAGTTTTTTTCATTGCGTCTTATTGGAATAAGTGTACAACAATAGGGAATCAGGTGTATATTGCGTAGGAAAAATATCATTAGAAACTTAAGTAGTGGTTTAAAGAAAATATTAAATTACGTAAGCATTTTAAGGTTATGTCATATTTAGATTCGATTAAATTCGATATTTATACCATACTTAATTATTACTAGGTATACTACTTTAAACTGTATTTAATTAGGTTGTGACCTTTTGTCTTCTATTTTGGACTGGGAGTGAAACAAAAATTGAATGCACTTCGTAAAATCTTATCAACGGGCAGCGTATATTTGTAAACTGTTGCGTTGGTGA